TTTCTTGAGTTACTGTATTTTTGGTATAAACAAAGATAAACAAAAGGAAAAATTAATATATTGATGAAATAAAAAATGATATTTTGAATCATCAATTCAAATTGAATTACGTTTACATTTAAACTTTTCTTATTATCGAAAATTGATAAGCAGGAAAATATAACGTGAATATTATATAAATTTGTGTCACACATCGAAAATCATTACCTATTTCCATTAATTTTGTAATAACACCAACACAAACATTTTGACTCTCTTCTGTTCCACGAACAGCTTTCCTTACCCAAAGTAGCACACCCACAGTTAATATACTCGCGATACAAGTGACATGCACAGTATATATATATACATATAACCTTTTTTTTCTCGAGATCGGAAATGCAATACTTTTTATCGAACAAAAACTTGACGTTGAGAAGGTTTTGACAGGTAACTGTATTTCAAAGGCGGTTACAATAAATATTTGAAAGTTTCCGTTTATTTTTCTGAATTTAGAAACCTATTCTTCTTCTTCATATATTCAAAAATAACGGTTATTCTACTATTTTAGTTAAAAATATTGAGGTAGTGCCTTCGTTGTTTTATGCATAGTTATCAAATTAATCGATCACTGTTCATTAGCAAAGTATAACTACTTTCTCATGTGGAAAACTTATTTTAGTTCCCAGTATTTCAATATCATAACTTAATCAGAAACGTAACATGCGTGACATCACTTGATCAGAGTAGCAATAGTGAGGTAATAACCTAATGTTGTGATAAACACATTCACGTTAACATTTAGTCGCATTTTTCACTTTTTTCTAAATGTTACAAAATAATTAGAGTAAGAATTAAGTTTTCGGTAGATCATCTAGAACATTTGAAACGTTATTTCGTACACAGTAATTTTATCATGTCCAAGGACTAACATTTGTTTACACAGTGAATTCCCCGCTTTGAGCAAAATAAATGTTTAGGAGATGATAGCTGAAGTGTTTGACTCAGTGTATGCATGCTTCACAATTGTCGCATTCCATGCATAAGAATACCATGTAGAGCATTACGAATAAGTTTGCAGTACCGTCTTTTGTCTACAGTAGTTACACGTGATGCTAAGTTCAGACTTTGGTCAAGGCTATACTATTGTGTGTTGTTGTTGTTGTTTTGTTTCTCCAGAGATGTAATCTCATTTTACTGTATTTGTTATGATAGAAAGAGAAATTACGCGAGGCCTGTTTTTAATACTTGAGTCCCAAAATTCGATAATCACATCGATTTTCACGTTAGAAGTATATGTACCATATATCTTCGTACGTGTTCAAAACCCGATACTGTGAAAGTATGATAATCTGCTATAGAAAAATTAACAAGAAGTTAAACATAAATAGATCTAGCGGACTAAAAATAACAAGAAAGAATATGACAATTAATGTAAAAAATAACACATAAGATGACATAATATCTAAAGTTAAATAACGTTTGTTTGCTTGTAATTAAGCACAAAGCTACACAATGGGCTATCTGTGCTCTGCCCACCACGGGTATCGAAACCCGGATTATTGCGTTGTAAGTCCGCAGACATATCGCTGTGCCATTGGGGTGGGGCGTTAAATAAGGCATACTGTGTTATTATTGTGATGTTACTTTCATTAACAGTATTGGTTAGAATGTTTAATATATACAGTTTTATTTTTTATTTATTATACTTTAATTATAATTTTGAGTTTAATATATGGATTTAAGATCAGCTTAACTCTTCTAAGCTGGCCGAATCTTGTGAGATAATATGATAGAACGGTTAATTCTAATTTTTATAAGTAAAAACAGTATACTTAATTCGCTCTACTCATTTCCGGGTTAATTTTTTGTTTTCATTTTTGGTCTAAGTAGGCAGCTTGCTCTGGTCGGAAGTTCATATTAATTAGTCTGAAACAATAATATTTCCATATCTTTTCAAAAACATGTTCGCTGATTAGAACTTTTGTCTGCAATGCGGGTAAGCTAGAAAGAACAATTGATTTAGTGTATTCTGATAATTTTTCAGTTTAATGTTACAACAGACAAATTCGAATATAAACGTCATAACTCTCCCTACTTCAAATATTTTCGTAATTCACAGTACTAGTCTCATAAATCACTAAATATAATGTAAAGTAAGAATATTTATCCACATATTTTCTTATTATTATTTGTAAGGATCTTAAGTCTTTTTAATAAATCAGAACAAGTATAGTTAGACACTGGCTACTTCTTTGTGTTATTACCCAGACGACCACACCCTTGTTAAGAGTAAATCATCAGTACAATAGCGCCATCTATTAGAAATATATATTCTTTTTTACCTAGATTAGAAATTAAATTCATTAGCCATTGGCAAATGCATTCCTGGTATAATTTGCGAGTATTCGAGTAGGATACTTTCAAAATGCAAAATGCTAATTGAATTGAATGGATAAGCTTCTTTCGACCACTCGTTTCCTGAAAACTTGCGCGTATATGGTGCCGCGAATAAATTTCAACATCTTCTAAAAGCAATAAAGTTGAGGCAGGCGAAGAGCAGTTATACTATTCTTAAGTAATATTCATTTCACATTCATGTTACTTAATTTCTTTGAAAGCTATAAAATAGTTATTTTCCAATCCTTTTCGCATTTATCCTAAAAGCTAAATACGCAGGACTGCAGATGTGAATGATCAATGATGTGTTTTATTTTTCCAATATTTTACTCCAACCCGTGTAAAGGTCAGTGCTCCCAAAATAACGCACGAAGCTGTAATAGAGAATCTAAAAACATTTTGAACAATTCGTTTTAAAGCCTTGCGTCAGTCTACGTTTTTGCGATACTTTTTTTTAAAACAACTATGATAAAAAGAGTTTAAGTAACTCATGGATTGTGGGTTGCTCATTACCAGTGATGTGAAAACGAGACGATCGTATACATCATTGGGTATTATGGTGTGGCTTTATTACCAATGCAATAATTATCAGTCACCCTATCGATTAAAACTTTACTACAGATGTTGCAGTATACCAGTTTTCGTTTTCTATTTAGGTATATCTGATTGTAGAGGTACTCAGCTGGGTGAAGTGGACCTGTTGTTGAAAAAAAAATCTACTTGTAAACATAAAAAAAGACAAAGTAGCTCAAATAAGTCCCGGTACTAGTACCGCCTTAAAAATAACTTCTGGTATTCAGTACCGGTGAGTGCCGGTATAATTTAGTACCCTAAAAAAATGATGGTTATTTGGTTTTTATTTTTCCGGTGACTGGTTCGAGGCGCTTACATGAAACCAAAGTAACATTAAATTTTGAAAACCTTCAAGACAAATCTGAAGCTTTCATGAGCGTTTTCTGAATCCAATTATTTGCAAGTATTATGTTTATGCATTACACGACTCATTGATTTATATGAAACATTGTCCTCCACTGGGTAAACAATAAATTTACGGACTTACAACGCTAAAATCAGGGGTTTGATTTCCCATGATGGACAGAATGCAGATATAGCCTATTGTGTAGCTTTGTGCTAAAAATGACCAAACAAAATATGAAATATTTCAATTAATTGCACACCTTACTGAAAGTTTAGGCACAAACGAAAATGAAATACGGTTGTCATTAATAAACTATTTTTGTAAAATACAATATAAAAAATAATAATTCTGAAACAGGTTTTTAACACTCAGCAACACAAGCTTTTGTAGATTTTGCTCATTATATTTACAACAGTATATTGCAGTTTCATAGCCAGGGTATGTACAGAATTTATGTTTATTTTAGTTGGTTACCAAAATATTACACAAGTACTATGTCTCAGTCGAAATTCATTAGTAGAGTAATTTAATTTTGTCTCATGGTGTGTTTGAGACTCGTTGTAAGCACCGTCAAATGAAGGGCCATTGTATTAATGGCTTGTGGCCGGATATGCGTTACTTGCTCGGACTGTGAATCAGAGGGCTTATAGCAGTGGCGTAGCGCAAAATGGTGTGTCCTCCCCGCGAAAATCATGTTTGGGGACCTTTTAGACGTTTTGGAAAAAACCTAATTTAGGACCTGCCTGGGCAGCCCAGGGTTCTTACCCTGAGATATTTCCTTCCATTTTAAAATAAACCTGCTCGCTCGTTGCCTTGACAACGGCTCTGCGCAAAGGATTTGTTTCGTCCTTTCTGCAGCAAAAGTAGCAACAGCGCTATTAAACTCAGCAGTCACGACGGGCTCCGAGTAGGGCCGTCTAACAAAGTTAAATACGGGCTTATGTAAGCTCCAGAGCGCAAATTACCGAAGTATCCCTGTATTCTCTGACATCTTTGTTGTGTTTTCAAAATTATAAGAGTCTCTGACATGTGCCGGATGTACCTGGATAATTTAAAAGAAATTTGGAGTCCCATGAGCTCACCCCGCGCCGCGGGGTTTACGGCAGCATTTGCCACGCTACTGGTTTATGGTTTGTGTCTCGTTGCTGCACTCCGCATTTTGGGTGCACTATTAAAGTATAAAAGTAATGATCAAATCCCATTATTCAATCAGACAAGAGTAACCCAAAAGTTGCTGGAGAGTGCTGTTCATTAGCTGCTTTTCCTCCAATCTATCAGATAGTCTGTTAAGTAACTTTATATTTAAAAATGTGCTTATAATAAATAAATAAATAGAGTTTACTGCGGAAATTCTAAGACACTTAAATACCCAACGACTACTTAATTTTTTAGACTTTTCAACTTGTTTCCTTTAGGATATTGACTGGCTAGAGTGATCTAAATGATGTTTTCAAAATTTACCACTTGGGAAACAGACATACGTGACGGTGAAAATGTAAAATCTATATGCAAACTTTTGAACGTTTATACACACACTTATACACACATATATATATATGTGCATAAATAAGAAAGACACGATTTTGACTTTCCTATTTTATTCAAGTTTGAAAATGAAAACAAATTAATAGTATTTTCACAATGTCTCTCTTGTCTTCTTTTTTTTTCAGTTTTGAAGTGGAATATTTTCTTCAATCTGCCCATGCAAGTATGGTACAAGTATGCCTGTATGTGAGTGTATCTCTCTCTCTGTATGTATGCTTAGACTTCTGTAATAGTACTTTATATTTGCATTTTTTTAACTTATTGGAATTAATAACTTTTTATACAAAGAAATCTGAACCCCTAAAATTCATAATAATAAAAATAATAATACAATATTCTTTACACTTAGTAATATAGCATTTTTACTCATTATGCAATGAAGTTGAATTATTACACTGAATTTCCGAAAATGTTTTTAATCAACAATGCTAATTTTGTAAAGTATGTTCATTCTCATATAAATATTTATGTTAATGTGATAAAGGTGCACTTAGCTGAGTTTATTAAGTGTTTTCTGATTACAATTTGAAAAGGTAAATGGTTCATATTCAAACAGTATTTCTTTTAGTCCAGAAAAATATTTATGTGTTAATTTAGAAAACCTTGATTAATCTTGCTCAATATATTTGAAATCGTGACAGATTAAACTGTTAAGATATTTCAAATTAGACTTCCAACTTGGAGTTTATAAACTATACAAACTTTGACATGTGATATAATAAAAACACATATTCATTGTTTTCAGATAAGGAAATGTAGTTTCTGTAACAATGTCTTAATTAATTAAAACTTGATATTATAAATGAACTGCAGAATTACATAAAGACAGGGTATTAATCATTACCACTAACTTAACAGCTCTTAATTTATCCATATCAATCAAACATGATTTACATTTGGGTCAAAATATAAGTATTAAATATGTATATACCTATAATGTTATCCACATTAAAAAAATCTCTTTTATTCTTTATATATATATATATTAAATATGATATTAAGACCAATACACACAGGCATAAATCCCGTATTTTTAAGACAGCACAACTGTAACTCTCATGACTGACTACATTAATCTTCCATTATTGTTCCGCAAAAATTAGAGTAGAGCTTTAAGATATTTCCATTTTGAGTATCAGGTTTTCTACGGAACTAGAGAATTATCAAATAATAACAGGAAACAACGCACAGAGTATTACAATATGTGTAGCTGTTAAAACAAAATATAGATATAATTACTTTGTCTATCTTATTATCCTCATTGGTGTATAAAATTCATAGTTTCATATGTACTTAATAATATCTGTAAGCTATACGTTTTGTAAAATATCCAATTCCTTTTCAAAAACACCATTCATAACAATCACACAAAACACACACACATTAACATCATGTAACTTTCTATGATGGATTTAATGACGAAAAACAAAAAATATACTTATTTTACTAATAAAAAAGAATCACATAGACAACAAAAATTAAGTTTTACAAGTTTGCAAAATTACTAGATAGCGCTAAAGACGTTAGATTCTTGGTGAGAACGCGAATGGAAATTAGGGCTTCCTAATAATCCCTTGCGGAGTGTTGCACACATAATGCAATCCTTTTAAAACTGAACAAGAACAGAATAGTCTATAAAATAACAAAAGCTTGGATTAAAACAGTTTTATCGATTTATTCAGTCAAAAGTATTTCGTTACATGAAGTGCAAAGCTACATAACTGGCTATCTCTACTTTATCCACCACGGGGAATCGAACCCTGGATTTTTAGCACTTACTACTGACTCACTGGGGGACAGTTACATAAAAATCACCAACAAATAGGTGTAGATATATATTCCCACGTATGCGTATATTAAAATACAGAATTATTTTTAAATTTTATGAAACCAGAAAAATGATTTCGTGCACTACTCAAAAGTGTAATAAATTTTAAGGACAAATTGAATGGTGTAAACAATTGCTATACACTTCTTTTATGGTGAAACCGATTTCTTCTGCTTGAATATGTAAAGTATCACTAACAGTGTTTAAAAACAAACAGGTGTTTCTTACACTATAAATCTGAACAAGAAACATAATTAATAATTAAAAACATGGCTTACGGTTGAATTTATGAAACGTCCGTTATTTTTTAAGATTAATTTTACGCTGTACCCTTTAAAAGCTGTACAGTTATCAAATTTTGCTGACACAATTTGCCTAAACTCTAAATGGCCTGTAGCGTTTTCTCAAGCGATGTAAATATCCTTTCTGGTTTCTACGTCAATCACATTTGTTTTGCTTATAGTTAATCACTTGGCATGTGTATTACTATTGCTGTGGCAGATTGAAAGTTGTACTACCTCATTTAACATTTGCTGTGACAGATTGAAAGTTGTACTACCTCATTTAACATTTGCTGTGACAGATTGAAAGTTGTACTACCTCATTGAACATTTGCTGTGACAGATTGAAAGTTGTACTACCTCATTGAACATTTGCTGTGACTCATCAGAAATCTGAATCTCCAGCCTGTAAGAGAGAGAGAGTCTAATGTGAGGTTTGTAGATGTTCTAAAATAAGTATTAGCGATAAAGCAGAGGACCTGGTCTTATAACTATCTTTGTGCATTTAGTAGTAATACGTATATTATATAAATCATAATAAGACTGATATTAATATAATTCACATCGCATACACCTTTCTTGCGTCATACTAGAAACAGCCGTTTTCAATAGACCCAAGAAGATAAGAAAAATTTCTGTGGTATTTTTATATCTATTAAATTAATTGTCATGCAAGTTTAGAGTAACTTAAAAGTTTATACACACAGATAATTATATAGTGTTTATGTGTGAATACACGGATTTCATGTTCATTACATATTACTCATGGATCATAAATAACAACATATTTTTATATGTGTTATTATCTAGTTTTTTTAGACAATGATGTTTTAATTGTATTTTTTTTTCTTTCCATAAGTTTTGAATTTTATAAGAACCTATTACGTTCTGTTAGGTCAATGTTCACAGTGAAGAATAGTTAAATATACTATTTTGAATATATAATAAACAACGTAGAATATTATGATGGGGCATGAAAATAGTATATTTTATAAGTGTTTGTTTTTGTAGAAGACTTAACGATTTAATAGTTAATATAT